TGGGCCTCTTGTTTAATTTCTTATTGTCCAAATAAAAGAAACGTCAATTTTCAAGAAACCATCAATTTTAAAAGAAAATTTAAGAGATCTTTGCAGTTCTTTTGATTGTGATGTTTTATTTAATCAGTAAAGTTTGAAGCCAGACTCAAAATAGTGAAAGATGGCCAGGTTTATTTATTGAAGTTGATTCTTTAAAATTCATGTTAGTGGGTTGGTTTCAAAATATATGTCGGTGGTTAACATTTGTAAATATATAATTCAGTGTTATCATAAGACTAGATTGGAGAAGGAAAGGAACATACCAACTACATTTATATGTTGATTAATCATTCACCCCTACGTTTTTAAAATGGACTTGCCCAGTCTTTGATTTGGTAATGTTCAAATGTGACTTGAGGGGTGAATGGGTTAAGAAGAGAAAAATGTATTTAATATGTGTATTTCATTGAGATTTTGAAAAGCTTAAATACTGACATTTAAGTAGATACTTAACCATGCCATGGGCTATGAATTTAACATTGTTCATATTTAATACATAAGATCCTGATATTAACAATGATGAGATAGATGTAGGCGATAGTTGGTGTTAGATTGGTACGCTTGTAAAGAAACCTGTGCGCCCGTTTGATTTCAGTCGTCGGAGAAGTTACAACGGATTAATGAGACAATGGTGAGAGCACGAAGTGGAAGTGTAACACCTCGTAGCCAGAAACGCCTCATGTTTGATCAGATGGATGAACCAGATGCACAAAGGTGATTGTATATAACTTTCAAAGGCCATACAACAGTAGTTGTATTTTCCCATTGCTTAATCATCTCTAATTCTTACTGCAGAACATTTCACTTAATATCATGTCGCTAAATGTCACTTTTCAGTTATTATCATGTTTTCTTGATGCATCGTTTTTCCTGCTATATAATCTTTGTATTTGATTATCACTAGTTTTGATGTCAATTTCGCTCAATATCACCTTATTTTGACCACTGTCACAAAAACCCCCATAGGTAAATGATGATAAGAATCAATGGTTTATTCCCCCGAGATCTAGTGTCACATCTGGACGTATTATATTAACGTCACGACCTAATGGTGTCTTTTTTACACATGGCTGACTGCAAAACTGTAGACCGACCCCACTTGCGTGTAAGATCCACCAGTCGGGGTGACAACTAGTTTCATGCTTGTAAACAGGGACCGTAAACACAAACAAACGAAACCAAATGAATTACGGCTTGTTATGACTTCACTGTTCAAATGCTTTGTTGGTGTTTCAGCATGGCAAATGCATTACCAGATGACTGTGCTGTGATCAAGAAGAAAAAAGTGTCTATAAAAGGGGCCCAAATTGCTACCCTGAAACAGGAACCAAAATTTACAAGGTGGGCAAAATGAATCTGAGTAGGGGATGGCTATCTTAGTATAACAAGTTGTTTAAACCGTTGTCACAGTGGTAAAGGTGAAAATTTGAATCAGTTGATGTTTGCTAAAGTCTTTAACAGAATTTATTCACTGATACAAAGGTAACTATTATGAGAAATTCTCTAAAGATTGGATTTGTTCTATTACAGGGAACATAAAAAGTTGCAGAACCCAGACAGTGGAGCCCCGAGATAACCTTATCTATTTTAGGAAGAATTTTGTTTGAGAGTCTAGTATTTCTCGTGAATGAAAGAGATGAGTATCTTTATATAGACTACTAAAAAAACTTGTTGAATACAAGATGTTGGAGCTGTGAAAATGGACACAAAATCTACTTCATTCCAGACTGAAGGTGAAAAAACTACAGCAATTCATTAAAGGCAGGAATTATTACCTGCCCAGGTAAATTTAGGTCTGAATGAAATCCTGTGAATATGGGAGAATGTGTGGATGACTTTTTAGAACCAAAATACAGATGTGGTTGCGGTGAAGTGAATTGTTCCATTTCTTGTATCCATTCATGCCTTATGCATACCTGGATCAGAGATTGTTGCTTCACAAAAATGACAATGTCTGATGCGTGCCTGACCTGGAGATTATCGTTAGACTAGAAATGATGTATGATGCATGCCTGAATCAGAGATTATTGTTAGACTAGAAATGATGTCTGATGCGTGCCTGAATCAGCGATCATCCTTAGACTAGAAAAGATGTCTGATGCGGGCCTGAATCAGCGATCATCCTTAGACTAGAAAAGATGTCTGATGCGAGCCTGAATCAGCGATCATCCTTAGACTACAAATGATGTCTGATGTGTGCCTGAATCAGCGATCATCCTTAGACTAGCAATTATGTATGATGTGTGCCTGAATCAGCGATCATCCTTAGACTAAAAAAAATGTCTGATGCATGCCTGAATCAGCGATCATCCTTAGACTAGAAAAGATGTCTGATGCGGGCCTGAATCAGCGATCATCCTTAGACTAGAAATGATGTCTGATGCGTGCCTGAATCAGCGATCATCCTTAGACTAGCAATTATGTATGATGTGTGCCTGAATCAGCGATCATCCTTAGACTAGAAAAGATGTATGATGAATGCCTGAATCAGCGATCATCCTTAGACTAGAAATGATTTATGATGTGTGCCTGAATCAGCGATCATCCTTAGACTAAAAAAAATGTATGATGCATGCCTGAATCAGCGATCATCCTTAGACTAGAAAAGATGTATGATGCATGCCTGAATCAGCGATCATCCTTAGACTAGAAATGATGTATGATGTGTGCCTGAATCAGCGATTATCCTTAGACTAGAAATGATGTCTGATGTGTGCCTAAATCAGCGATCATCCTTAGACTAGAAATGATTTATGATGTGTGCCTGAATCAGCGATCATCCTTAGACTAAAAAAAATGTCTGATGCATGCCTGAATCAGCGATCATCCTTAGACTAGAAAAGATGTATGATGCATGCCTGAATCAGCGATCATCCTTAGACTAGAAATGATGTCTGAGGTGTGCCTGAATCAGATATTATTGTTACACTAGAAATGATGTCTGATGCTGGCCTGAATCAGCGATCATCCTTAGACTAGAAAAGATGTCTGATGCGGGCCTGAATCAGCGATCATCCTTAGACTAGAAAAGATGTCTGATGCGGGCCTGAATCAGCGATCATCCTTAGACTAGAAAAGATGTCTGATGCGAGCCTGAATGAGCGATGATCCTTAGACTAGAAATGATGTCTGATGTGTGCCTAAATCAGCGATCATCCTTAGACTAGAAATGATGTCTGATGCGTGCCTGAATCAGCGATCATCCTTAGACTAGAAATGATGTCTGATGTGTGCCTGAATCAGATATTATTGTTAGACTAGAAATGATGTCTGATTTCTGATCCCTCTTGGATCTCTTGTTAGTATTACTATAGCACATAGACAATGAGTTATTGACTTTATCACAAATTGAATACTGTGCAATAACAGTAAGTTATATCAGTGTTTGTTTAAACAATTTATGATTCAAGCAATCTTGCTCCTGCATCACACGTTCATTGAAATCCTTCGGCGTGTTATTTTCGTATGTAATTTTCATCATTCACAAATAACCATTGAATCATATGTTACATAATTGTTGAAATGATACAATATGTACCTGTTTACTTTCTGGTATATAGATAATGTCACAATTCGAAATCTTGTCCTGTAGATATTAGTGTTATAACTACAATCGGTCAATATTAACTGTTATGGAAGCATTACCTGAAGACTTTATACTTTGTCCAAGATTTTACTCCAGGACTGGCAGGAGAAGATTTCATAATTAGGAAATCTTTGTCTGACCTTTTTTTTTAATTTAAAAAAATACAAAAATCAATTTAATAAATTTCTTAAACTATGCCATCACCCTTAAAAATATTTGTGAAGCATATCCGTACACAAAATCCATGTGTGCAATCTGAGATATCGGATGAACATGCGTGGTATTACCTATTGAGAGCTTCTGCAACCTAAGTTAACTGGGATTATATGTAAATCAGCTTGTTCATCTGTCTTTCTGTATGTCCATGGATAAATCTTGTCTGGATAACTCCTCCTCATGAACTGATTAGCTGATCTCAATAACACTTGATGTGCATGGGCAGCAGCACATCATGCAGTTGCACACCTTACAATATTTCGGTTGGTCTTTTATTCCCAGGGATATTGCCCTTTAGCTTTTACTAATGTGAAGCTCTGTCCAATTGCCATGAAACAACCCGCGAGTGACAGATGGGGATGTACTTTACGTCAAATGGTCAGCTTTTGGTTTCAAATATGTGTCACCACCTCTGATTGGCTCAGACAAAAATGGTTGTAACTTTAGTTCTATTTGGCCTTCATACTTTGTGAGAGTGATACATCGGGGACTTACTTTAAATTAAGTGGCTTAGTTTTAAATTTCAGAATTAAAGCTGGCGATTGATTGGCTAAGACACTGAGAAACTTGATAGTTGAACTTATAGTATTAGTATGTTTGTGGCATGCAGTTCTGGTTTTCATTGGGCTTGACTGTAAATTTAAAATGAAATCTGTTTGTATTTCAATTTTGAGGTAGATTTTCAGTAACTGGAACAATATGGGGCAGCAATCCTTGCATTATGATGTCACAATTGTATTAGAGTTTTGATCATAACCAGAGTGACGGTCTTTGAACTTACAGCAGTTTGTTTATAGGATTATATAATTGCAATACAGTCAGAGCTTGATTATGTTAACTATTGGGAATGAATTCATGAATATTCTTTCAAATTTGTCCACTTTACTCTTCATTAAAGATAATTCAAATATTTCATTGGTGCAAACCCTTTTAAATATAAGTGAAATTAAATTTATTGCAAAAAAATTCTATCAACTTATATCAACTACTATTGTTAGTTGGAGTGGTAGCACACAGGGAGTTGTAATCTGGGAAGAAACCAGAGTATCAGGAGTACACCACATTGTCAGGCAGGTGACCTAAACCTTTTTCCCCATCTGATCAGGAATCGAGATCACCGTCAGTCCTAGTGAAAGCATGGTCAGATACCCACGTCCAATTTGCTTTGCTATTCATTCATCACGTGATGAGTGGGTAGCGAGGCAAAATCTGCCGTGGGTATCCGACGATGTAGTGAAAGGCGAGTGTTCTTTCCACTGTGCCACCCAACCACCCAAAGGTAGCTGAAATCCTTCAGTGTTGTATGTGATGTACCTAGTAATAACCTACAGGATATTTCATCCAGAGTCCATTCAAAATTGCAGCATATATTGAAAAAAATAATAACCATTATAGTAATTATAAAAAGGAATATGAAGAGATAAAATGGTGCATAATATTATCAGTTATTTTTATTATTTTCCAGTAACACCAGTTATTAAATATTACCTTTTTGATTTAAACATATTTGTATTGCCCTTTGTTCAGCAATGGGATCGGGAACAAGTTGTACAACTTATACAAAGCCCTTTCCCTTCAGTAGAATTCACTCTGCTAGGATTATCTGGTTTTCAATGATATGAGTGGTGTTCTTGTTTGGAATTAAATGGTTGCAGTAATTTGCATAAGTGCATTTTTTAAAAGAATATAAAATATATGGAAAGTACTGTTTCCATAAATCAAACTTTGAAGATTAAAATTTCTTCATATTTTGAACTTAAAGTTATGCCTAGACTTGTTTTCATTGCATGACACTATTGATAGTGAATCAAGCTTTTATTTTCCACTTTTTCAAATTATGATCATTTTAACACATAAACATGCAGACTACAGTGTAAAAATAAATACACAAACAAATATTTTTCTAAATACTTTATTTATAGTATCAATAGATTTTCAAATTAGTTTCTTGCCTGGTATTCGGTCACTTCACAATCACATTCGGTCTTGTGCAGTATATACATGATCTTAAAAAGATGTTCAACAGTTGGGAGTTGAAGTCTCGGTGCTTCAAAGTTTTCCTGGTGGTTTTGTAAAGTTCAAAAGTTTGATTATAATTATCTCTTCATATATTTATATATAAACTTTATTTATTTTACAACCATTATGAAACAAGTTATTTCAACTTATATTAATCACTCTTGTTGGCCCGAATGTTAGCGCGTTCATATATTTAATGTGCCTACACGTAAAGAATCTTTTGTGTAAAATTGTTATAGATTAAATATTCATCAGATAACAATCTATTAGCCTTCAATTATTGATTGCTGACTTTTATTTGTAAATTGATTTATTTTTAAATTATCTTCAATCATGTCAATTAATTTCAGAACTTGATTTTTTGATGGTGACAACCAGTGAAATTTGATAATTCATATAATATTTTCTGTAAATTATGATCTTGAAAGAGGTTTACAATTTAACATTCAATTTCACATTATTAATTTTCTTTGAGGTTAAAAAAAAAGATAGTAATTATGAAGAATGTGGTAACCATGAAAGTATGAACAAGCAGAGCATGGTGTGAATGAGTTTTCAATAGACACTTGAGTTTATATTTGACTCCACAAAATTAGCTTTCACTCTTATATTTGAAAAGACCTGTGTTTCTTCACATGTTTTTGGACTTTTAAAATTTAAAGGAGGAAAAATGACCCTTCTGAATTGCTAAATTGCCAGAGGCAATGATAGTCCTAGTTAAAACATAATATTGGTTCTAAATGTTCGACGGTTACTGCAAGATTCTGGACATTATAAAATGTCCTCCCCCCACAGCCACCACCACCAACACATAGCCACTGTTTGAGCTGAAACTTTGGGGATCACTTTTCTTGAATGATGGATGTACCATTGTTCACTCATCCTCAAACTTTAAGATTTTTGTTTTTAGATACACATATCTTCACTGCACCCCTGGAATATGGCATAACAAAATGAGAGGCTTTTTATCCGGAACCTTGCGAATGATGCAAATAGGCTACTCTGATAAGTTAGATGAATATGAAAGGAATCGTACACTGCCATAATGGTAAAATAGAACAGCTTTGAAGTCGGGTGTCACGCCTTTGTAATCTTCAAAGGACAGGTACTGCCTAGTGAAAAGTCAGGGTTCTATACACCTGAAACAAATCTAAAAGTTGACGGGAAGCTTACAATTCATTTTGTCACAGAATATTCAAGGGATGCAGAGAACATAGGTGTATCAAGAGCGGAGCCCTTGGATTTCTGTGATGTTGGTGGTATATGGTGTTATGTCGTCTACAAACAGAGCATTGTGGTCTGCCTGTGTTTTGCTTAATATCACAGATACTAGAGTAAATAAATTATGTTATCCAGTACTGTAGGTTATTTTATAAATTGATTTTGGTCAATTCAGTACGATAAGTGTATTTAAAAAACTGTAATTTTTATTT